ATCATCTATCTATCTATCATCTATCTATCTATCATCTTTCTATCATCTATCATCTATCTATATCATCTATCTGTCTAATCTATCATCTATCTACCTATCTATTTATCATCTATCATCTATCTATCTATCTATCTATCTATCTATCTATCTATCATCTATCTATCTATCTATCTATCTATCTATCTATCATCTATCTATCTATCATCTATCTATCTATCTATATCTATCTATCTATCATCATCTATCTATCTATCATCTATCTATCTTTCATTTATCTATCTATCATTTATCTATCTGTCATCTATCATCTATCTATCATCTATCATTTTTCTATGAAGATGTAACTGTAAATAGCAATATACTTTTAAATTAAAAAATTTATTGCTGACATTATTACAGATGTCCCCATTTTCCCCTCTTTTGCCCCTCTCCGCCCAGCATCCACCCCCCTTCCCTCTGGCCATCACCACATTGTTGTCTGTGTCCATGGATTATGCATATATGCTCTTTAGCTAATCCCTTCACTTTCTTTCATCCAGTCCCCATCTTCCCCTCCCCCCTGACAGCTGTCAGAATGTTCCATGTCTTTATGCCTCTCTTTCTATTTTGTTCATCAGTTTATGTTGTTCATTAGATTCCACATATAAATGAAATTATATCGTATTTATCTTTCTCTAACTGGTTTATTTCACAGACCATAATAATCTCCAGGTCCATCCAGGCTGTCCCAAAAGGTAAGATTTCTTTCCTTTTTACAGTCACATCCTGTGCCGTTGTGTAAATGTACCACAGTTTTCTTATCCACTCTTCTACTGATGCGCATTTGCACTGTTACCAGCTCTTGGCTATTGTAAATAATGCTTCTATGAACATAGGGGTGCATATATTCTTTTGAATTGGTGTTTTGAGGTTCTAATTTTTTAGGGAAACTCATACTGTTTTCCACAGTTGCTGCACTACATTGCATTCCCACCAACAGTGGACTAAGGTTCCCTTCCCTTCACATCCTCACCAGTACTTGTTGTTTGTTGATTTATTGATGATAGCCAACCTGGCAGGTGTGAGGGGATATCTCATTGTGGTTTTAATTTGCATTTCTCTGCTAATTAGTGATGTTGAGCATTTTTTGATATGTCTATTGGCCATCTGTATGTCCTCTTTGGAGAAGTGTCTATTCAGGTCCTTTGCCCATTTTTCAATTGTATTGTTTGTCTTCCTGGTGTTGAGTTGTATAAGTTCTTTCTTTATATGTTTTGGAGATTAACCCCTTACCAGATGTATCATTGGAGAATGTGTTCTCCTGTGCAGTGGGTTCCCTTTTCATTTTGCTTTTATTATTTATTTATTTATTTATTTATTTATTTATTTATTTATTTATTATTTATTTATTTATCTATTTTTATGGCTGTGCAAAAACTTTTTAGTGTGATGTAGTCCCATTTGCTTATTTTGTGCTGTATTTCTCTTGCCCTAGGAGACATATTGGCAAAAACATTGCTGAGAGATGGCTGAGGTTTTACTGCCTATGTTTTGTTCTATAATTTTATGGATTTATGACTTACATTTAAGTCTTTTACCCATTTTGAGTTTATTCTTGTGTATGGTGTAAGTTGGTGGTCTAGTTGCATATTTTGCATGTACCTGTCTAATTTTCACAACACCATTTATTGATGAGACCATCTTTACCCCATGGTATGCTCTTGCCTCCTTTGTCAAATATCAATTCATAATATAGACATGGATTGACTCCTGGGCTCTCTATTCTGTTCCATTGATCTTTATGCCTGTTCTTATGCCAGTACCAGGCTGTTTTTATTAGAATGGATTATAGTACAGTTTGATATAAGGTATTGGGATTCCTCCAAATATCAGGTATTTGTTCTTTCTCAAAAGGTCCTGAGTGTGGTGCCTAATAAAGAATGTTTGACAGGTGGCCACAGGACTCAGGGTTGAATTTCTGGGACTGAGCAGGCTTAGCGGGGAGAGGCCAGTTCCATATGCCTTTCTTTAACTCCAATGAAGTCAGCAGTGTGAATATTTCATTTCCAGAGTACAAGGTGAGCTTGATGTCATAAATTCTTCACCACAGTGGAACTTTGGTGGCTCTTGAATCAAAGAACATTAGCAAATGGCCTTGACCCAAGAGTAAACAAAATGATCCAGTGTACCTATCTTCTTGAGTGACTCAAGAATGTCTAAAACATATTAAATAAATAATTTTTCCTTACAAAATGTCAGACTGTGGTTTCCAGAG